GAGTTTAGAGTTTGTACCTACTACCTATGGCTAAAGCTACAGACGCCTAAAGAAATGTATATATATTACCTTTTTTTTAGGCAGTGGGGTCGCCCCAGTAAAAGGCTGTGGTAGCCCAGTGGTTAACGCGCTCGCTTAGGAAACCGTAGTGAAGAGGGTTCAAATCAGGGTCTCGCACCTCTCGATATTTTTCACGTGCGAATCATTTCTAACATAATTACCACTTCCAAATTCAAAGATCCAAATGAAAACATCGTTGAGGAAACCTGCATGTCTGAAAGAACCTAGCATGTTTTCGAAAGACAAGTGAAGTTTGCCAACACGCCACTGGGCCAGCGTGGTGGACTATGGCCTGATCCCTCTCGTATTGAAAAAGTGCCCAGCAGTGGGATATTAAAAAGGGCAGCGTACGTTCCAGTTTTTATAGTGATGCTAATAATTTCAGACGTGGTGGAATCCGAAGAGGCATGGAAGGGCTGGAGCGGTGTGGTTTACGAAGTGGGTCGGCCGCACACGTAGTAAAAGCTGACTGCGGGCAGCAAACCGAGAGACAGCCGCCCACGCCTAGACAAGATACCACTTGTAAGAAATATACAGATTTCACCGTGGGGTGGGAGCTCCGCCGTCGCGTAAGTTATATTGCTGTAATATGAAAAAAAATGTATGCTTAGGATAAATTTATACATGGGTTATACTATGAAAATATGAAATTAATAGTTTTTATATAAAAAGAAATGTAAACACATATTTTACGAGATAAAGAACACACCTAACTTGCCAAATTTATAGTGTATAGCTTTATCATAAATATTAACAACAAGTGAGTCCTTGCCTCGGATTTCTATTCTTCGTTACTATAAAATGTCAGAAAATTTTGAATTTGCCTTCATCCCATTATAATCGATTCACCCTATTCTGGGAGAGGACCCGGGTACAAACACATACACGTTCACCACAAACATTTTTACCAATTATCTGTATTTTTACCGAACTTCGAAGGAGCTCAATCTGTGGTAGTTGTATCGTAGAGAGTTATATTTTTTTAATTTCAATTATAAATAGAGTTTATTATAATATGCGATTATTTTAATATTTGCAGAACCAACCGCCAGCTCCTCCGAGCCCTTCACATGGTGAGAAAAAGGGGAACGCCGGACTGGTAATCATTCCCCTCAACATCACAAGAGGGAGAAGCTCACTGCCGCCACAGCAACTTGGCATCGCTCAACATCCTCAGGTATTTAATTACGACGGCATGTCAGTAGGTCAGGTAAAAGTTTTGACAAGAGGCCTCTGTCACTCCATCTTTGCAGGGGCATCGTTTGTTTTTTCGTTCTTCTAATTTGGTTATCCTATATTTTTGTGTTGCAATGTAGAAAAAATTATACTATTTTATTTAGACAAATTTATGTAGGTATTTGTTTTTATTTAGATAAAATTATTATTTTTTCTATCTGATAATATTTTTATCAAATAAATATTTTTTATTTTTCTTTATTAATTATTTTTTAAAATTAAAATTATAGGTATGTATATCAAACTTAAATAGGTAATAGTTCTATGACTAAAAGCACACGTTTCTTTGTTTAGCACATATACCAATTAAATGCCTACCCTTAGTGACGATAATTACTTAGCAAGTTTCTTAAATAGCTTTGTCCTACTAACGAGTTTTCCAACCATTTCTAATTTAATAATAATTTTAATATAGTGAGAGTCGCTTATGAATAATTTTCAAATTCGCTCTTCACTGTTCCAGTACCCTGCTCCAAATCCATCGAATCAGCATGCTTCACGAAGCTGGCGGCTCTCAGGTACGAAAATAATTTCAAGTTCACTATTTTAAACAAAATTTTATTTTTAAATTATTTTTTAAAAATTCTGGCATTATATGGAATTGAGGAAATCGAAATATTTAAATATAGCTCTTATGGGCAGATTTCGGCTTTGTAGAGTCCAAGCTGTAAGTATTTGTTGTTTATATAAAGAGTCTTTTAAACTAGCTTTTTCTGCCATATTTAAGTTGTACATATTTTACTGCATACATAAAAGTGGCAGATGATAAAATGTTATATATTTTTAGATTAAACACGAAAACTCAGAAACTGTTGACTAGTAATGAACATCTGAAATGATTTCTTACATACGTACGGGATGATTCATTTGAGAAGATAATTTATCCGGATCCGTCTACTGATGTGTGTATGAATGATAACTTTATATGATCTAATGGGAAATCAAGCGGTATTTTTTTTTAGAAAGTCTGTATTTTTGGACCAAAATTATATAAGTTTTTACATTATAAATAAAGGAAAGAGCTACGTCTGGTTGTTACTGTTAGCTACAAAATCCTGAACAAAACGGTAAAGTAAATCTACGAAAATCGTTAGAAACAAAAAGGTTCCTCCTTCTTTAATAATTTTTGGTGCTTTATGATCTTTATTTAAATGTATAGATATTATATAACAATTTTACCCTCCAGGTACAATCGCCTAGTGGGCCATCATCACGCCCATCGAGTGTGTCAAGCGGTGGGAATGGGCAGCACGTGTTCGAGTAAGGCAAAAGTGCCTCAGAACTTGCGTTATGGTGAAACGACAAAAATGGCGGCCAGCCACCTCCTCCGCCACCAGCCAACGGTCCGCCTCAAACATCCACATGGTAATATTTAATTTATTTATTAATCGTTTATTACACCAAAACAAATAGACAATTTAAAAGAATATATAACTTTACAAATATATTTTAGTGTAAATGCGGCCTTATCAATAAAGTGATCTCTTCCAGGCATACCAAATATTATAAAGTAATCGTAGGTTAGCATGGATTATGGTTGGTGCAGAAAAAAAAATAACAATAATTAGCATTCAGTGGTCAGTCTTTATTATTCTACTTTTTGTTGTGTAAGCCAAAACACTTACACCTAAATTCAAACTCTGTAATCCAATAGCTTTGAGTCATCACCAATTAATTAAGAATTTCAGATGTCTCATAGTTATTACGATATTAAGCTTATACTGCCACGTAATATAATAAATAAATTGTAGATCCCCAAGTAATTTTAACAACAGATCAATAGATACTTTTGATGTAATCGGGAATAAAGATACCTTATGTCATTTCCTGTAACTGTAAAACAAACCGAATAATTTTAACTTTCCACATAAATAATATAAAGTTAAATGTTGATACTATGGCCGTAAATATATTTTTTTCACAAATTCAGCAAAATGCATTTTTATCAGCTATCTTTGACACTGTTCAATAAATTTTGGACTTATTACAGCTGGGCAGAACCGCCCAAGTATCTGCAGTGCCAAGAACTAAAGTAAAAAGTATCGGGAGGAAACCCAGACTTGCACACAAGATTTGCAAATACACAGTAAGTTAAATTTTTCTATTCCACACTTTTCCTGATACATTGATAATAATAGGAATTGCTACAAATTTACGTTGATTCGAATCAATGAAAAATAGTCATTTATGATAGCGTATGAAGGGGGGTTTGTGGTGTTTTTGTGGGTTTTTGGGGGGGGGGGGGGGTTTGGGGGGACTAATAAATATATAACTAGACAGAAAATACGTAGATCCTATAAAAGAGCTTACGGTTCGAAGTTTTTCTATAAGTTTCATTAAACTACTTTAAACTTGGAGGACAGAATTTATACTAAGTTTTTTTGGCATAATCATTCAAATACTGCAGATATTATTTCTATACGTATGTAGGTGTATATACTAAAAAGTCATACTCTATATTGAACTTGCCACTTTGAACAATAAAAAATATATACATGGAGCCAAAAAGCATATTATTCACGCCAGTGGAATATTTTGGGAGATGTAAATATGGTGATATTTATTAATTGGTACTCACGTAGGTCACGATTTCAAAAGTACTTATAACCAGTCTATTTGAATAAAAGTACATTTTGATTTGATATAACTATTCTTAAATCGTTTATTTATTATATTTTTAATACTACAATATTTTACGTATTTATTGTATGCTTGAAATATAAACTCATTGTTATCCCCACCAGTTGTACAATAATCGTTTAGGTTATAGGTACTTTCTTCGATGTACGCGAATATTTGACATTTTAAAATTACACTATCTTTCGGATTTTTTTCGTGGATTCGACTGACTTCTCCTCCCGTGGTTTATTGATTGGTTATAAAGCAATTCGAAAACATCGGGAACCAAAAATCGTAATACAAAAAATCCTGCGAAAAAAAATCTCGATAAGCGTAGTTTTATTTTTAAAAATCGCTTTATGTTGTCAATTCATCAATACTTTCCTATTTTCCACAGAAAAACGGTATAGGACCGAAGTCTCTATTCGTTAGGGAGGCACTGCGGCCGCCCAGCTGTCCGCATCTGTACGGGAACGACTCCTCGGCTCACAATCCCTACCTAAGCCTGGCACACACGAGTTTGCTGCATTGTTCCATCACCACAGGTTTGCTAAGAGAATTATAATTTAGCTTCAAATTTTAAACAAAACAATGCTTCATATTGGAATTAGTACTCGTAATGAGTACACACGTATTGATATATGTTATGGTTGCACTGTAGGAAATATATCTTTTTTTTTTTTACGATGGGAAATGCATTTACGCACGAGGTGTGGGACTCACCGACATAGGCAGTACTACCCACTAAAACCCAACAAAGCCTTCCCCCGCCTTAATGGGGCGTCGCAGGATCGCTTACGCATTCAACTACGATGCCCCGACGGCAGGTCTGCCGAAGCAGACCACAACAACCACGGGGTCGCTCCAAGGTCCACTCTGCTATCATAGAAGTACCAGGAGCAACCCGCATGGAACACCGCCCTCCGAAGAGGGCCACCTTCCACCGCCCATCGAAGTGTGGGCCACCTCCCTGTGCGTTTCTTGGCTTCGCACCCGGTTGGGTTGCCGGGCACTACTGAGCCCCCCCACCACGACAAGGTGAACGCACATTGGGGGGGGGGGGGGGGGTTAGGAAATATATCTAGTAAAACTTATTGTATGCACGAATATAATTTTTTGAAAACTTCAATATAGTATTCTTATATCGTGAGTACAAAAATGAAAAACTTGTATCCAATAACTAATATTGTATTCACTTATAATTATTTATTTTATAAAATATATTATAAGGCATGTGAACATACTGGCAACTCGTTCAATTTATGTCGTTGTGGTCACTGTTCTAACCAAACTAACCTAGAAAGCAAGAAAGGTTTCTGCCAAAAAATAAAACCTGCGATTTTTACAATAATTTTCGACAGTGCTGTTTGTTAAACGACGAATACGAAGACATATACATAAATAAAAGTTATTTTATATTACAAAACCAAAATTAGTTCTTTAGTTGTATGATAGATACATTACGATCCTAAAGGATCAATTAATTTGTTGAACATCTCGTATGACATCATCACATCTGAACAGCTGTTGTCTCAACAAAGCTTAAAACACAGCAACAAGTAATTATTAATGTTCGAGTCAACCTCATATTGGTACAGAAGCAGAGAAAACTAGATTTATTAACTGAAGGAAATATTTTGTAATATAAAATGTATCTCTTAAAATAATATGTTAAGTAAAGTAACAAAAGAGTTATAAATATATTTATGTTATTATGGATATATAGAAAAAATGTGTTCGTAACAAAGAACGATACATATTACGTACAAAAAGTGAATTTTTAGGCATATTTATAACTTTTATTTTCTTGTAATATAATCAAATATGAATGAAAGATATTTATTTATTACATTCTAAAAAACAAGCAAAATTAGGTTTTCGTCTACATACATCTTTATTAAAATTTTGTCATACGCGTTTAGTACGTGCCTGTACATTATCCAGTCTAAGTTGATACGAGTCTCATAAAATTCCAGTTGACGTTTAGACTAGTGCAGTGTTCAAAACCATAAAATATTACTGTTTTGTATATCAATAATGCCATATAAAAATGTGTAATTATTATAATTATTATCATTATAAAACATAAATATTTATTATAACGTTTGAATTTGCATGATTTATTTCTTATCTTCAATAGTGTATCGAGTTTTTCGTGTCACGATCGCAAACATCGCTATCAGTCGAAGTTTATTTTGAGTTTGTTTATTTTGACTAGATTATAGAAATCCGTGGGAAATAAACGGGATCAGTTCATATTTGAATTCCTTAGTGACTGGTTGGTTTGCGTTCAAACAAAGTTATTTTCAGGGCTGCGCCTAGAGGCGGGATGAAGATAAGTGACGGAAGCCTTTCCGATACCCAAACGTATTCTGAAGTCAAATCTGACTACGGAATACCCTACGCGCCATGGCTTAGACACAGGTAAATTCTTGTAAATAAATAAGAATGTGAGTTGATTGCATAACCCATATATATATTATGTAAACGTAATGTTTGTATTAGCATCGTCAATCATTCATCCCTCAAGTGTGCATTTTGTGTGCCCATTTGATTTGAAGTAACACAAAGTGTTTCACTATCATGCTTTCGCAGTCCTTTCCAGCCAGTTGTAGAAGGTGAAGCTAGAAATCTCATACTAGAGGGCACGTTTATTTTATTTTAAACTTAATGTTATTATTTTTCTCTTATAATATGCAATAATTAATCAAGATGGTGGTTCTGATACCTTGTTTATAGTATTGTTGTTGCAACGAAACCTAATTAAAGATGGCGTTGGTCAATCGTCTTAATATAATATTTTCGACCATACGCATTATTCTGGACTAACTTACAGCGTAAACTATACATATAGACAAAAAATAACACCATCTGTCACTTATTAAAAATTACTGTAATTTTTTTTAATAATGCCCCCAAACAATAATAAAACCTAGCTACATCTACATATGTATCATACTCGTATAGCTGGGCGCATGCCTTCATCTCGTTTCGCGTTTCAGCAACACATATTCAGCGAGCGGGCGCCTCTCGGAGGGCGAGTCCATGGAGTCACTAACGTCGCTCCACTCGGCGCAACACACCTCCCCTAACTCACACCGCAGTTCACTCACACACAATAAGCTCATCCTGCACCGAGACGCACAGAGCTCCAGGCTCAACAGAAGCAACAGTATTAGGTGGGTCACTGGTGGTAGTGGCGTAGCTTACTTGGTGATTGGCCCATTACGTTGTAATTTTGCCCTATTTTACTTAATAATAATATTACAGTCTACTAATCCATACAATCTGACGAAGGCGTCTTGACAGGGAAAACTTGACGGGGGTAAGAGTTGAGACGCGGGTGACGTGCACCCGGCTGTCATAGTTACTTATATAGGACAGTTGTGAAACGATTTTAGAGTTGCCGAGTATAACAGTATAACAACAACTTGTTTCGAGAAAGCATTATTGTGCTTAAACTTCGATACCGTTCATCATAAAAAATAGTTTTTTTTGACAAAGAAATATTTTCAACAGTAAGCTTTCCGTTAAAATCAATCAATCGATAGCGATCACGGACTGTATGGATTTTTTTACTATGATAATACTTTAATATTTTAGTTATGTGATTTCAATATTACTTTTAAAAGTACCGAACCCACGACTTTATACATTTATATTTATTTATTAATAATCTAATGTATATCTATAGTATATTAAAATTAATAAAACATTGTAGGTTTACTTGTGAGCTACGCCACTGATTTCATATCATTCCTCATCAAATCAAATCCCTTATCTACGTATGTACAGTATACTATCACTATGCTTTAAAGCTCTTCCTCCCTTTCATGCATTATATGTAAGTACAAAATATTGTAAATATACTCGATAATATCTTCTTAATTAATTTTTAGCTATCTCAGAGATAGGGACGTTCCCAAGGTATGCCACAAGGTTGAAAAATTAAAATTATATGTTTGGCTTCGAGGTGGCACGCTTCATTTACAATAACTCAGTTGCATGTACGACGATAGCACGGCTTAAATAAAAATATAATAAATACTAACTTTGACTACAAAAGGTCAAGGATTATTGTACTCGCTGTTCATTTTAATTTTGCAACTGTAACATGTACATCTTAATCATGAAAAAATTGTTTGGTAGACCATTACAATGATTCACCATTAAATACATTATTTTTTGCAATAATTTATCATTTCTGGGCTATTTTCAGTTAAATGTATAATTTGCTTACGTCAACTGTACGCTAAATAATGGTTAAGCCAACATGTATTAATTTGGCTATCTTAGCCCCATATTTGAGTTAGGCTTTGTTTTTCGTATCGTCTTGTATTGTATAATGCAAATTATCACGTGTAAGCGTCACTGGTCTGTATATTTACTTACGCTAATATGAAATAAATAATACTTATATTTGATTATTTAGTAGCCAATCGTTTCAGATCGACTAAATCTGAAAAGCTGTATCCATCGATGTTGCAAAGGTCTTCGGAGAGCGATTACGAGCCCTATTATTGTTTACCAGTGCAATACGGACCAGGAGGACAAGGTAAACTGTACAAATAGTAATCTATGCATATAATAAAATTGTAACTAAGCCGAATCTGTACATAAAATATTTTTTGAAAATCTTATTGTAATAGACTTTATTATCGATACAGAGGGCGAATCTATAGTTTTTAGAATTTTTGTCTGTCTGTCTGTTACCGCATCATAGAAAAACCACTGGAGGGATTTTGATGAAATTTGGTATGGTGATAGCTGGTTATCCGGGTCAACATATAGGATACTTTTTACCGCGGGAAAATGCCTCATTTCTGAGAAAAAATACAAAAACTGCAAGTGTGGGTGGTGTAAGAGTATATGTAAAACGTAAGAATTTGGGTTTTGGTCATCTGACAGCGTGCGGAGCCGCGGGCAATGCTAGTGACATAATAAAAGTCATCACATAAAGTATTATTGTAATTTAAAACCCTCAAGTTGCATATTTAAAACTATCTATAAAAGGTCAAAAGTCACGAATATAGTTTTTTGTAAATGTCTTGTTTCCTTCATTCAAATGAGATTTGAAGTCATTACAAAACTTATAGACTTGACTTGAGCTTCCATTAAAAGGTCTAAGGTTGATGTTGTTACTTTACAATAAAAATATTATTAACTAGGTGATTCTTTAAATTGACATAACTTTTTTATTTATGGACCGATTGAAATAGAAAAAATACTTAATATTAAGTGAAGCTTACCACAATATATTAGTGAAAACCGCACCCAAATTAATTAAGCCGTTCCTGAGATTAGCGCTCACAAACGCACAGACAAACAGACAAAAATTCTAAACCACTGTTTTGAGTTCTACTGCTTTAATAAAAAAATTCTCAGACATCTTCCATGTACAGACACAGATTAGTTACAATTTTATTATATGTATAGATTTAAGTGTGCCTGTAAATTTTATTAGAGTAACTAACTTATAAATATATTATAATATTAGAATACATTTTTCAACCAGGTCTGAACTACGGAGTCTCGGAACCGCCTTCTCCCTCTCCAAGATCAGCACTAAGTCCAACTCATCAGCCCGGAAACGTGATGCACACGCCACGACATTCTCACCACTATCCTAAAAAGAATGATGAAGGTAGCTCACATTTATTTTTCTTTGTGTATGTAACAATTTACACAATACTACCGAGCTCGGTAGGCAGACAATGCCGTGTCACGCTAGTAAAATATATTTTTTGAAATATAATCTTGAAATAATCAGGTCGGTTGAAAATTTGGGGTGATTTTTTTTTGTTGTTGTTTTGAGACCATTTTTTGAAGAATATAAACAACAGTAGTTAGAAACATAAAAAATGGATCTCAACAACAGCGTCAGCTACCGGATTCAACTATATCTAAATACAGGCCCCGGGTGGCCTCAAAAGTGTACAGAAAAATCATAAAAAATTGTTAATTTTAGCAGAGAATAATTGCGAATACACACACCGGAATTTTTTATTTTTATAAAGATTAAAGACTGCGTTAGAGAGAAAAATAAACAAAGCTTTATGTCTAAGATTTACATACATAGATAAAATACATTTCTAAGCTTCCTTAAAGTAAAATTTGTATATTATACCAATAGAATTGACATGTAAAAATCAATAATCCTGTAATAAAAGCTCTTTCAATAAATTTAAAAGTGTAAACAAAATAAACACCAAGACAACGTAATATTTCCAACTAAGTCGTCATTTTTTGTTTTTCCTATTTTATCGCCCAGATAAATTTATATTTTTATTTTAAATTAATTTAAAAAAAACTACAACTTAACCTACAATTATACAGTTTTATGGACTAGAACTAAATAAAACTTCACAGAACGAGCATTATAACAAATCAAGAAAGCGGTCAATTTAGATTGATCCAATCGATAGTGATCATTGTAATGAGCTCGTCATACCCTGTAAGGACGACAGCGAAATCACTCTTATACTCACTAAATATGGTGTTAGAATCGTATAAAAGTTATTTTAACGGTACAAGTTTTATTATACTGATTCTAAGTAACATAAACACTTCATATGTGTGTACATATATACATACTAGCTCTTGTTGCAGGCTCCGCTCATACGTTTTATTTTTATAATTTTTACCCTCTAAAGTAGCATGTTATATAGTTTATAATCTTCCTTAAAAAACAGATACTGACAGATGGTTTTAAAGATTACGGTGTTCAAACAGACAAATAAATTTTTATACTATAGATTTGTATAGAAATATATGAAGCTCAGTTTAGAAGTACATATTTAGGTTACTTTTGATATTAGATAATATATTATTGATGTTGATTTCTAAATGAAAAAAACATAATAGGAAGAAAAGTTTTTTTAAAACAAGTATGATTCATTTTCGAGTAATATACACTACGCCAACAAACAAACAGATAAATCGAAAACAAAAATTACCTTCCATTACATCCCAAATGTTTGTATAAAACAATTATGTACAACTTTGACCATGTTACTATTATTGAACGACTTTCTCAAATTCGTGTATCTCTTTGTGCGAAGCCGTCAAAGTACATCACTTCAACCAATTACATATAAACCAATTTTCATGTTTTTTTTTTTTACTGAAAACGTCATTTAATCTCATTGGTCCCATATAAATTTATATAAAAATATGCATGCAGGTGCAATAATTACAGTTAATGTCTTTAGTTGAAGATTTTAGTTGAAAATTACTTGTTATATTATGTATGTACATACATACGTATATATGTATATGTTATGTATATAAGTTAAATTATCACGTTTTTTCCTAGTGCACGGCTCGACTGCGTCTTTGGTGTCGACGGCGTCTTCTCTGGCAGCTGGCGCCGGGACCGACGAACGGCAAGCTCACGAGGTATGCATGTTAATTTCCAATTCTATTCATATATACCACACATTTTTTTGGTAAATTTTGAATATAAAACTATGGTAATTCATAGCCGAGATCTGTATGAATACTAAAAATGTTGATTTTTTTTAAATTTAAGGATATGCTACGAGCATTTTTCAACCGACTTCAAAAAGGAGGAGGTTATCAATTCGACTGTATTTTTTATGTTTATTTTTTTTATGTTTGTTACCTCAGAACTTCGTCATTTATTAACTGATTTGAACAATTTTTGTGTTGTTTGAAAGTGTATACTTCCAGATTGGTCCCATTTAAATTTCAAAAAAATAATACCACCCCTAAGGGTGAAAAAATAGCTAATGATGAATTTAACCTACTTCTAATTGTCATATTAACTTTAAATTTGCAAGTGTTTCTATTTCCGTTGATAGTACAGTAGTTCGGTATTGTTGACCTGATCTGATGGTAAGGCCAGAAGGTGGATAGGTGGAACTCTTCAACTGCTAATAGTAGATACTTTGACTTTGGGCTTATTTTGTTTGATTGATTGATTTGATGATGTTTGAATTCTTACTTTGCTACTACTGTCTACACTAAAAAGGGAAAAATAAAAACTTTTTAACAAAAAAATAAAAACCGACTTCAAACAAAAGCACTAAAAAGTAAAAAATAACTGATTAGTAGTTTTCATTTACTATACATACCCAATCAAATATTTTCGAAGTCGGTGTGCTTTGGCTAAGTAATTAAAGCCTACCTATTAAATACATACCTAATCAAATATTTTCGAAATCGGTGCCAGCCCATACAAAGCAAAGCCCACCGACTTCGAAAATATTTGATTAGGTATGTATAGTAAATAAAAACTACCAATCAGTTATTTTTTACTTTTTAGTGCTTTTGTTTGAAGTCTGTTTTTATTTTTTTAACTTTGAAAAAATATACCGAAAATAATGGCATTTAAAGAAATGACGTATAATTATTTTAGAAAACAGTTACTTTTTGAATAAATGAACTCTTTTAATATGAAATTTTTAATTCGAATTCACAAGCTTTTAATTTGTTTATCATAAATATGCATATCTTGGTTTAATGTTATTCCAATTAATGTTTCTGGATCACTAAACCACTTAATTAAAATTACCCAAATGTGATGTGTTTTCTAGATTTGAATGATAAAATATATTAATATTTTTTTTATCTACTAATCTTATAAAATCAAAACTTTGTAAGGATGAATGTATAGATAGCGGTATGTTTATCTTTTATGTAATAATTATTGAACCGATTATAATGAAACTTTAAAGTAATTTAGCCCATACTTCAGACTACCACAAAGGCTATAATTTATGAACATACAGTAATATATGAGTGAAATACGCAGACGGAAACTGCGGCAAAACGCTAGTCTAAAATACATATATTTGACAACACTCATTGTATAATTTATATAAGAAAATAATTTTATTACGATTTAGGTGCGAAAGCTTCGACGAGAACTGGCGGATGCGAAGGAAAAGGTGCATACACTGACAACCCAACTGACCACTAATGTAAGTACTTTCTACTTATAACTTATATCAGACTCCGTTTCTACTATCGTTCTTATTTATGTTATTCAAATACGAATATTTGTCGAACATTTATTGCGACCTCAAAAGCTCGTTATTGTTTTAGATATTTTTCTATTTGTAACATGGAGAAAGCGTGTGGAAGAGATTGTGTAAAAAGGAAACGATCAATTATGCATTTTTTATTAAAGTTATTTAGACTATTGTTACGGAAGAAAACATTTTAGCACGCAAGCATTTGAAATTGCCGTAAAATAAGATTTTTAAATTCGCTTTCAGTGTTATATAATCGAATTGACGAAACCTTATATAAATATTTACAATTCTTTACACAAAATGCACTATTTAATAGAGAAATATTTGGTTCATTTCTTTTTATATCTTTTAACGACATCTTCTTTAATAAATAAACAAACAGAAAATAGATGGAAATTAACTTTATTCTCTGATGTCTATTTATATGGATACACTTCAATAACAAAATTTTAGTATCGTAAAATAATAAGCCCTGTACAAAAATCAAACACCAAAAAGGTACTTAGTACTTAAGTAAGTACTTTGCCATGACTAATATTGTCATGTTCACTTGGAAACCTTAATTGTTTTGTTTTATTAGAACCTGTATGAATAATGAGGTTAAAACTAATACCCGATGACATAGTAACCTAATAAAACATATTTTATATAAACATACAAATAAAAAGTCGTTGACGAAGCTATCGAATTACTAATAGGGACATGATAACCACCGGTGCTTTAATAAACAACGCAACATTATATGCCTTCGATAACAAATTAAAAGTAGTCGTGTTTACAAACTGTAATGGACAGATGTTTTTACGTGTCATCTAATAATATTCCTGATTACATCGCAGCTTTACAGTACAAATCTATACAAATAAATAAAATTGATGTGTCTGTTCGTAATGTCGAAATAACAGCTTTTTACTTAATGCATATGAAAGTATATACGGTACTTAAAGAAAAAATACAATTTTTTAAATTTTTGTCTGTCTATTTGTTCCGGCTAATTTTCGAAACGGCTGGACCGATTTTGATTGGACTGTCACTGGCAGATAACTGATGTTTAAAGGAGTGTCTAAGAGTACTTTTATTTTAGAAAAGAATTAGGTTTCGGGAAAAAAACCATGAAATAATGAACAAAATCCGGCACGCATCCGAGCGGAGCGGGGGTAAATTGCTATAGTAGTGATATGTAAGCTTGCAATGTGCTGGTATTATTCGATTGATATCTCGAAAGTATAATGAGAAAGCTTCGTGAAAGTTGGTAGTTTTTCATAATTACCTTTAATATCAAAATTAGATTTTACTTTTATAAAAAAAAATACAATCTATAATATATTTCTAGGATAGATATACTAAAAATAATGTTATTTTTAAGTTTTATTACACAGTGTACCTGTATTGTCTGAATTTAAATTATTTACACAAAATACCACATTATGTATAATTTACACCAAAAAAATATTGAACATGATTCCCATACGTTATGACATGGTTTTAAAGTTCAGCACGAAAATCCAATTACATTCAAAAGAGATGAATTGTCACAAGATCAGATAGTGCATGGATAGGTTCGGTCGAGTCACACGGCCGTGAGTGCGGTCGTTCGCCATATTGGGTGTTGGGAATGTGTGCCGAACAGTTGCTAACACTGTCTTTAACCTAACTGAAAATGAATTGAGGAGAATGTACAATAGATATTGCTTTGTAAGTCGCTTAAAAATAAAGCTGAATAAATGTATGCCAATAGAATTAGTTAACCATGGATGATATATAACATGTTTTGATGGAATATGAACGGAACTCGGATGAACGTCGACATATTTTTATTTATAAATTATGAAGTAGGTATTTGCAACACTATCTTGGCTTGCCCCTTATCGGAGCAAGCAAGGATGCTTTGTACATTGCTATTTGCCATACAACGTCATGAATAAGTTTATAGTGTAAATTGTAATTAAGAATGTGTTAATAAAATATGTAATTTTTATTACGGGGGCGACATAATCACTGAGTGATAAAACTCCTTTAAATAAAAAGAAAAAGAAAACAGAATTAGTCTTGCTTTTAGAAGTAAATATTGATTAAGCTATCTGTATTTCGTACGATACCTGTAGTGTTTAAATAAGTATATTAATAAACTTTACGCAGACTTTAGCTAATATGTCAACATTTTAAGTAAATATCCATGTAAGTATACAAGAATGAGTATGTTGGTTTGTCTGTAATGTATGTATTCCAATTTTCCATTTATTTGATTGCGATTTATCATAGTGCATTTTTGTGTGCACCCTTTGCACGAACGCGAATACTTCTTACATTGTAGGTACTATTGACGTACGATAAGTGCGTGTGTCATATCGGAAAGTTTGTGATTTATTACTCTGAATGAAACAAGTAGGATACGGTAAGTTATTTAGGTCTAAGGCTATAATGTCATACACATTATAGCTTAAGATTTAAATATGACATATGTACGAGTATAAAGGTCATTTCATACTTGGGCGAAAGTCACGGCGCGTTGCGAGTTGTATACAGAAATCTTCACAATGAAATTCAGCTAAATTTTAATCTGCAACAGTGTAGTGTAAAATCCACTTAAACAATTGCGGTATGATAAAACAGAATGCTTTTCCTTATTCAGAAATAATACCCAACTGCAGCGGACCGTTCTGAGTTCTGACACTTTCCTGAATTCTCAACTAATAATTTAAAGGCGTTAGTCGAAAATCTTTATGAAAAATTTAAATGATCGTAATGTATCTAATGTAGTACTTACTTTTATTTTCTGAATGACTATTACCGCCTAATGACCTATTGCATCGAAGGTCGCGGCTTCGATTCCTGCATGGTGGGAAGTCTTGTGGTGACTTAATGTGTGTTCTGGTTTAGACAAGGCATGGCATTGGATTGTATGTAACATTTAATGTTTCGGTATTGGCGTGGTGCAGTCTAGACTCTTAGACTTTAGAGTCACTGCGTTTTGGTATCATCAATCATGTCGTCCCAAGGAAGCTAATGAAGCTTTTATACTTTTTAAGGAAAGACAAGTGTGAATGAATGACCACTGTCTATTCAATAAATATACTAAATAAGGGTAGGTAAATACTGTATAAAACCTAAAACACGCAGATTTTTATACTTATGGTAACGCTTGTTAATTAAAAATTTATAAAAAACTTAATTGGGGTCATAAAACTAAAGTATGGCAAAGTAACATAAATAAATCAATGTCCTAATCTCCCACAAAGGAGATCGTAAAAACCGATGTCAAACAAACCCTTGAGTTTTTACTTTTTATCGTCACGTCGCGTCGTAACAACGTTCAGCTCGAATGCCTAAATGTGATTAGGATGTTTTATTCCAAAATTTAAATTTTCAAATTATTACATTGCTTAATTAAAGGTATCTTTTATCTAAATAGTTTTTAAATGCCTTAGAATTTAAGAAGTTATAACGAGAACTTCATACAATTTTGCTATTAGATACAAAATTCAACATTTTCTTTCAAACATATTTGGTTCTGGTGACTGCTTCAATGAAGAGACATTGTCATTCATGTATCCTCGTATAGCTGAAATGACTAATATTGTATATGGTATCTTGTATTAGGGACACTATTGTCTATTGTGGTAATCTTATCTGATCGCTACAGGCTTTCAGTTAGACAAGTCTAGAATCAAGCTCCAAGCAAGGTCCATTCTCAAAGGAAGCAAAATCGACCTTCAAATTCAAAAATTGCAACAACTAGATATGTAACATTGGTTTCTTTCTTACAACTATTTATATATCATTGCATTCAAAGTATGGCAAAAATTTTAAATTCAATTATTACAGTTAATACTTAATACCTATTGAATAAAGCATGTACATTAATTACGTATATTTAAAGAATTTCAATCTCTCAAATTAAAACGGAAAAGTAAAGAGTGACTAACGTCACTTTTATAACTAAAAGACCTTGATTTTTTTTATGTCGTCATATTACTATTAAAGGACATAGCATTAGTCTTATATAAGTTTCTAAGGTACAAATATGGCAAATTAATACGATTTTGCGCCGTTTGCTATGACGATTGTGTGCATACATTTTTAATGTCGCCACTTTTATGTGTAGCACGTTTAATGCAGTTTACACACAAATCACAAAATAGGGTCTGGGTGTAAATGATATCATTAAAGAATTAGCTATCCGTCTAAAAGCTCTAACTTTGCACCTTTCAATAAATCTAATAATACTGAACAAATTGTTTAAGTAATGTTCGTTATAACAACAAAAGAAGTAGCTCTTACTAAGCAGTGTTAGTATTAGTGACTAAATTCTTGATCGGAATTTACCACTAAAACTACATCAAAACCATTAGTTTGTATCTTATAAAGAGAAAGTTTGTTTTTAGTTTATTTGTATGTTTGTTTGTTTGTACACGCTAATCTTAGGAACTACTAATCCGATTTGAAAATATCTTTTTGCAGTAGATAGCCCGTTTATTGAGGAAGGCTATATATCATCATGCTACTACCCACTATTCAGTAATATAATATGTGTTCTATCGATTCCATACTAACGCGATAATGGTGACGCGCTCGCTTGGGAAACCAAGTGAAGCGGGTTCAAATCCCGGGCCTCGACCTCTGATATTTTCATGTGCGAATCATTTCTAACATGATTACCACTTGCCTTACGGTGAAGGAAAACATCCTACCTGCATATCTGAGAGAACTTAGCAAGACTTCGAAAGGCATGTGAAATCCGCCAACCCGCACTTGGCCAGCGTGGTGGACTAAAGCCTGATCCCCCTCGTATTGAAGGGAGACCCGTGCCCAGCAGTGGGACGTTAAAAATGGCTGAATACAAAGTCTTTTAATTATTACGAAAATTCTTCACTTACTATCGTTTGTTCATAATTTTAGAATAGTTGATAATAATTAATTATCTATTTGTATTTTTTGTTAGATTTTATTTCTTTTCCAGCCTT